CCCCCCCCCCCCCTTCACCCAACATGACATTGACATAGCTGTCATCATAATGTAAAAGACAAATACATATCGAAAAGCTTTGAAAGCGGTGTACCTTAGATCGGTTTGGGTGGTGTAAATATCCTCTGACTGTATTTTATTTTTAAGTTGCTTTCTGATTCCGACAAGTATTTTCTGTTCTGTTATATTCATGTTATTCTTACACACAAAACAAATTCACTATACATGTTTTGGGGTTTTTTTTCCTGAAAGTTTATTTTTTCCCTCATACATATATTTGTAACATTCTTTCTTCATCTTGCCCCTTCAGTCATTCTGACAGACGAGGAAGTGCAGAGGAAGAAGGACCTTATTCAGCGGAGGAAGGATGAGGAGGCACAGCGCGAAGCAGAGAGGGAAGCGCGGCGGCCCCGACTCACTGATGAACAGAGTCAGGTCATCGCTACGCTGGTGGAGGCGCACCACAAAACATATGACGACTCCTACTCTGATTTCTGCCGTTTCAGGGTTCGTGTCTTAATATTTATTCTTGTTATCAAATCAATATTATGCTGTTAAATATATTTCACATATTTCATGCTCAACAACACTGAAATAAAACTGATACTGTTGTGAAAATATTAAGGACGGACAGTGACACCTACTAATAACAAAATGCTATTTAGTAGTAATAAAATGGTGCTATTTGTTTGCCACTTTCATGGCCCCACAAAATAACAATATTGACATAACTTTCAAATGAGAGCTTGGATCTTTTTAGTGCATTAACAGTGTTAAGTTTCCTCCTCTTCCTAAAACAGTCAACAACAATCATATTTTGTACTGTTTCCACACAAAGTGGTCCTTCAAATAATTTCTCCTCAGGAATTTCATTCCCACTAAATACACAAACAGCCCAACACAAATCTGTTGTTTTATTACAGTTTTTGTAGCATCCAAATTACATCTGTTTTTTTGTTTTGTTTTGTTTTGTTTTGTTTTTTAATTCAAATCAGTATGTTTTACTGTATAAAAGTATTTCTTACAAATGGCTCATCACTTTAGTTTTTTATTTTTAGTGAATATTTACCCTATTTTCTCCTTTCTAGCCTCCTGTGCGCGAGGGCCCAGTGACGCGAAGTGCCAGCAGAGCTGCCTCCCTCCACTCCCTGTCTGATGCCTCCTCTGACTCCTTCAGTCACTCTCCAGGTAAGAGATACACACTATGAACATCACATAAGATCTAATGAGAACGGGACTGCTTGGTCATGTTAAAAAAAAAAAAAATTTAAATCAAGAAAGAAAGAAAATCAGAACTGATTCATTAAAACTACTTGACTTGCATAAAAAATGAAACTATCAAAATTGACAGACATGTTTTGAGAAAAGTGATATTATATAGTTTATTCTTAACTTGAAATGGTTCTGGTTTCCAGTTCAGTTGTTTGTGTTGTTGGCTTATGAAATCCGTTAGGCTGCTTTACTGAGAATCCAGTGGAAATCCTGTGAATAACCTGTACCCTGCAGACACCTGACCCCTGCTAGTAAACATCAGTTCATTAATGCATCCATCACTAATGGAGTGAACACAGCGAGTGACATGGTCACGTGGCCTACCACCAACACTCAGCAGGGACAAATAACAACCCCACCTAGCTCTGCATGCTCTACATATTGTCTAAGGTGTCGTCTGAGAATTATCTGGCTCGTGTATTTTTAAATGATCCTTTCCATCATCAGGTTTTCGTTACTCCATGCTTGCTGTCGGTTGCTTCAGCACGTTGTGTATATTCATAGAGAAATAGTGTGGAAATTGTTGTTAGCTGTCATGAACACTTTTTTCTCCCTTCTTTTGTACTCTTCTCTCCTTTGTCCTCTTTTGTTTTCTCCGCCAATCTCTTCTGCTCTCTTTAATCTGGTCACAACAGAGTCAGTAGATACGAAGATGAACTTCAACAACCTGCTGATGATGTACCAGGAGCAGGGCAGCAGCCCCGACTCCAGTGAGGAGGAGGGCTCCAGTTTCTCGATGCTGCCCCACCTGGCTGACCTGGTCTCCTATAGTATCCAGAAGGTCATTGGCTTTGCCAAGATGATCCCTGGGTTCAGGTATGTGTCTGTTATGTCTATGCATGTGAAGAACATCTTTCTGTCTGTCTGTCACAGATGTCCTGCTGCCCCTCTGCATCAGTTGTCAGTAAGTCTTTTCTGGAGAATATGACTCCAAGACCTCTAGACTGACCAAAAAGTGGTCTTACTAAATATATGATTACTACAATAAGATGGCAAGAAATAATAATTGAAAATTGAAATACTTGCTAAACTACGATGCTATACATAACTATATATAGTTTTGCTGGATTGTTTGTAATGCACTTTTCTAAATCAAAGTGAAAGTCAATCTATTAAGACTCAAGGCTGACATATAATACTGTTAGAGAGAAAAGAGGAGAGGACACAGTTTTTCTGAGCTTCTCTGAATTTTTGTGTCTACCAAGAATTTTCTTAATTTCTTGTATGTTTTTTTCTGTGTTTGTTTGTTTGCTTTGAAACAGTCATGCCCCTGTAACTAAATGGCGAAGCCTGCAAAATCAAATCCTGGCCTCAGTGTACTTTTGGAACTTGTTTATTTTTTATTTGCTTGTCTTGCAGTGACTCTTCACCTTAATGTGTGTTATAGACTTTTTACACATTCTTGTATTTTTTCTTCTCTATTGATGTTGTGTCACGGTGGCGGTCGCAGTCTAAAGGCCATAGAGTACTGATAAACTGCATATTACAGACAACTGATGCATTTTAGAATAACTTACAAATTGTGGATGAGGTTATACATTAGCCGTGGTCATGTTAATTTGAAACCCAGTTCAGTGTATTAGTAGGTCATTGCCTAGTTTTACAAGAAGATACTCCTCCAGTGCTCGGCAGTCAGCTGTCTATCTTACACATACACCCACGAGTTGTGTATGTGATGATCACACTTTGTTTTATGAGCATGTGATATATCTGGTACAAGAAAAACTGTGTTGTAAAACTCTGAATGACATGAAGGAAAATATATTAACCTTGAAATTAGAAAAGAGTGAAGAGAATAATAGGCCCTGTCATTGTAAAGGCAAAACTAGGGTGGCTCACCAAAGTCTTCCCAATGTTTCTGTCTCACCTTCCACACATGGAAACCGTTGTCTTCCAGAGTGTTTGTCTCTCGGTGTGCTGACAGGGACTAACTCACAGTGTCTCAGGGGGTCACCCAAAGTCAAAGCTAAAACAAGTCGGGGCCTGTATTTCCTGAAAGTTGTCATTCCCACTGGCAGCAAGTGATGGACATGACACATTACCTTTGGAATGTTTGTCCACTTATGATAGGCTCTCTAATCCCTGAAAAACAACCCAGACCTCCCCTAAAGATCTGCGGCTTTCAGCTCTTGTCTCCTGCACAGTTCACTTGTGTCATTTCACAACATTTACAGGCATGTAACATTTCTGATGCAAGATCTTACCTGTGACCGTGGCGACAATTAAAACAGCCTCAGTTTGATTTTGTGAAATGTGCATTCCACACACAGTCAGCCCCCACAGCACAAGGAAGCAAACGTGAAGTATTGCTTGGATGGATTTTTTTTCCTGCACACCATATGATCTGATAAAAGAAAAAAAAAATTGAAGACTGTGATTGTCCTTGAACACACACACAACAGCATTAAACCACTGTTAACGGATGAGCTGACATATTTCACGTGTAAACACACAATGCGGGCAGGTACATATTTGGCATGTTTTAACTTGATTAACTTGTTTTTAAGGACTCTTTGTTCATTCGTTTGTAATTTGTGGAACGTAATGGATGATTTCTTTCCCCCCCGTAGGGAGTTGACTGCAGAGGACCAGATTGCTCTGCTCAAGTCCAGCGCCATTGAGGTGATCATGCTGCGCTCAAATCAGAGCTTCAACCTGGAAGACATGTCATGGAGCTGTGGTGCGCCTGACTTTAAATACCAGATCAGTGATGTCACCAAAGGTCAGTCTGAACACTGTCATGTGTGCAGTTTGACTGCTGTGAAGACACGCCAATTTTCAGGGCTATGTATGTGCACGCCTGTCAACTCTTTTTGTCCAGCTGATTGTTAAAGAAAGGTTCGCATGTTACACATTAACACTTTTACTTAGTGCTCAGAGGAAACAGCCTGCTCTTAAGGAGGTGACCATATCATTAGCGTGGGAGTACAGATAAGGTTACCGGCAGTGGCCTGTGCACACACCCATAGGCAAAAGATGCAAATGCAAGTGTTTCTGCAAAACCAGTCTTACACATCCGCAGAAGCCCCTGTGGGCACAGCTTTCATTTGCCTTTCAAACAAGACCCTCTCTTTCTTGGATCAAGGAAAGAATGTCACTCCTGACCTGCTCACGACACAAAACAACTACTGTCTGAACCAGGAGAAGCAGCTCTGTTGTACTCCTCTTAAAATAACCCTGAATAGTTGACATGTACATGACTGGAATACAAATGTGTTTTTTAAATCCCGTGATCAATAGTGCATAAGTTTTGAACACTCTTCCACGTGGGATCTAGTCCCTGAAAGCTTCTCCATGGCAGCTTAATAGAAAAAAAATGTATGTCATGTAGTTAAAACTGATTTTTTTTTTCTTTTAAACAAAGTCTTTAAAATGCATCAGAATTGTCCTAACAGAAAAAAAAAACATGTTCAAGACTATTGCCCAAATATCATAATAAGAAAAATGTTAAATTATAGATAATTACATTTTTCTACAGGCACTGTTCAGAATGTGCTCAGAAAGAATTGAGTTTCAATACACAGCCCAGCCATAAAATTACAGAAAGGAGGCAGATCATAGTAATCATTAAAAATCTTTGGTCAATATTGTTTGGCTTCTCATTCACACATATACATTAAAATAATTCCCCTAAGAAATGGCATATGCACTGATCTTAATTCAGATTTGCTTTTCAAACAAATCAGCACACAAGTAGTTCATGGTGAAAACAAACCTGGGAATGCACAGCATGCGATTAAAAAGTCTTCAACACAGATATTTCCAACAGGCGAAATTAAATATTAATGAGTAACGGGGATGGTATCATTCCCTTGAGGGCTTTCTTTTCTTATGCGATATAGTTTTGAAGCTGCACTGATTGTAATGATTTGTTGATCTTGTGTAGCGGGCCACACTCTGGAGCTGTTGGAGCCACTGGTAAAGTTCCAGGTGGGCCTGAAGAAGCTCAACCTGCACGAGGAGGAACATGTGCTGCTGATGGCCATCTGTTTGCTTTCTCCAGGTACTGTAGGTCTGACTGTGTGGAGGAGGGAATATGTGAGGGTCGTCATGAATTGTTGATGATTGATCTCCTGTGTTTTTTTTTCCAATAGAGAAGATATTCTAGATGACTTTAATTGTGGCAAAGATCAACTTAAACATTTTAATTAGAGAATATTTAAAGCGTTGTTGCCAACTATCATTCTGCATAAATCACATTAAGGTGCAGGTCTATGCTATTTGAACAGTTTTGTGCGGAACAGCTTTCATGTGAACCTACATTCGTGTGTAAGGTATGCATTTATGGAGGATACAGTGCATATATTATACATGTATAGCAAGCAAGCATGTGTAACTAAGTGGATATTTGCATCCCTTTGTGTGTATGAGGTACCTCATTAACAATGCATATGTGCTCTCCCAGATCTAAAATTAGCAAGCCACCTACCCAGAACACCGGAAATAACTTTGACTTGTTTTTCAGTGTAATCTTCACTTTTCTGCCATTTTAACACCTAATTTCTGTTGCTGTTCTGTGGTTTGTGTAAGCGACCATAAATATCTCGAGTGTCTCCCCTCCCCTGCTGCAGACCGCCCAGGTGTGCAGGATCACTCGCGGATCGAAGCCCTGCAAGACCGTCTGTCAGAGACCCTGCAGGCCTACATCCAGCTCCACCACCCAGGAGGACGGCTGCTGTATGCCAAGATGATCCAGAAGCTGGCCGACCTGCGCAGCCTCAACGAGGAGCACTCCAAACAGTACCGCTCACTGTCCTTCCAGCCGGAGCACAGCATGCAGCTCACCCCGCTGGTGTTGGAGGTGTTCGGCAGCGAAGTCTCCTAGAGGACGCCTCCGAACCCCAGCTGTGGAGAGGAAGCTGGAGACAAGACCCCAGGGGGTGAAAAAGGAGGGGAGGGAGCTAAGGATGTGATGAATGAGCTAAATGCAGGTGTGGAGTATGAAGTGAAGAGAGAAAGAAGTGTGCGTGTGCGTGCGTGCATGTGTTTATCTGTGTGTGGCTTCATGTATGTGTCACATCTAAAGAAGTCTATCTTGGTGTAAAGGCCAAGGTTGTATGGGGAGCAAGCAGATGTTAAGAGACACAGTAAACAAGGGAAATTCATAGAGTACAAACTGAACTATACATACAACTTCTGCCTATATACAGTGTTTTTGTCTGTATTTAAATCAACAAACAGCTGCTTCAAATGCCTGGACATTTTGTGTGTGTACATGTTGTTCACACACCAACACAACAAACATACTCAGTTATTCATTTAGCCATTCAGTTGAGCTACCTCTTGGTTTTACTGGGGTTGTTTTATATTTACATCACCTATGTGAAACACTAACTTTTACAAAGAACAATTTAGATACAGTACAGATTACATTTCAGTTTACCGGTGCAAAAGCAGTGCCTGCACATTATTTTTGAATTTTTGATGATTCATGTATTTTTTTGTTTCGTTTTGTTTTTTGTTTTTATCTGCTTCTCTCCAAGGCAGCATTTGTATATGACTGTGTATACAATTCAAACACATGCCTTTCACCTTTCACCAAAGGTATGGTCAACTACTTTCTCAAAAAGCTTCCAGTACCTAAAAATAACCTTGCTGCTCCATGGCTCGCTTCACCCATGCAGCCACTCGGCAAGTTTTCTGACTAGCCTCACAGCCTATGAAGGAAAGTGTCATTATGTAGGTTTATACTGCAGAGTACAGAGCATAGTCTGTAATTTAGTGAGGTTTTGATAGGACTTTAGGGTGCCTGGTTTGAGGTGAGAATTAGCCACTAAATGTGTTAGCTACTTTTACACTGCTAACTGTCAATCAAACCAAGCCGGCATTATGGCTTGTTACTCTCTTTTGAAATTGTTTTTCATTATTCTTCTCTTTTGTTTAACTGTTTATTTCCATGTAAATACTTAATTGCTATCACATGTATCCTAAGCACTGTTATACCACCTTTTACTCAAGCCTATGTATTGATATACAGTATCTATATTATCACAGATTTTAAAGGGCTAAAATGCCAAATCTAACTGGAATAGTCATTCGAGGCCAAAGCAAGGGGCCTGTCTTCTTGTTGATATATAGCTGCATACCATACTTGGAATTGGCATAGATATGGATAGAATTGCAATAGATGCTTTTTTTTGTTTTATACGTCACTACACCTTTAAAACAATTCCATGAATTGTTCCTCTTCAGTATACGGTGAGCTCGGTGGGCGGAGAGCTTAGGAAGCTGCTTCAGACCTCCACAGATATCACACCCCTTTCGTTTCTGACTGGGAAGTGGATTTTCTAGAATGTCTGAGGACCTGGTTGTGGTGGTGACAATGCTGCGTGCCTCCACACCCCGGCCCTCCTGTTTGATGATGTATGCTGCGCAGCCCTCTAGTGGCTGTATCATGTAAATACCAGGTATATATATGTGTATATATATACATATATATATATATACATATATATGTATATATAATGTCTGCCGCTGTACATAGGGCTACATAGATTTTCAAGGTTATTTTGTTTTTCAAAAAATATATATATGCAAATACGATTGACCCTTTTTTGTTTCTGATCCATTATTACCATGTTCTGAAACACTATGCTCTTTGTTTTTTTTTTTACTTTCTTGGAAGGAAATATTTAGGAATGGCTTATACAGGGATTGCTTGTGCATTTGACACAGTCAGATTTGTATAGGGGGTGGGTTGATGTTAATTTCCAAGGTTCATTTTTCAGAAAGGACAAGCTAATCATACTGTGCTGCTCTCAAATATAAGCCATATAGATCATCAAGCTACTTCTACACATGATACATTACAGTACATTGAAGTGATGACTCCAGGGCCTTGGACATTCTCATTATATAGTCAACTAAACGTGTATGCTATTAATCTATGGCTTTTGGAACATGAGCTTGTATATGATTGGAACTTGTATGCCTTCTCTCTGCTGTCAGTCATCTTTGGCTTATGCTTCATCAGACAGCATCTAATGGCTTATAAACCAAACTGCCAAGAGACTTCAAACGCTTATGTTTACAGGCCAGTAATGTGTGGCTTGCTGCATGTGGGATTATGGTAAAATTATACAAGGTGACATGTCGTCTATATCGAGACAATTTCCCCAAAGAAATGTTAAGTCCATTTCCTGCCAAGTGCAAATGATTCCACCGGGGGCAACTTTGCTTAAAGGCTCTCATTTGCAGAGATGACACGGAAGTTTCTTTTTGTCTTCTATTAGCTGTGTGACAGAAGGCATCTGATAAAAACAGTTCCTGTGATTGGCCACCCGGTCCTCCCATGTCAGACGATGAGTTTCCTTCATCTCCTTAGACCAGAGTTACTCTTTGAGGAAGATGCTGGGAGAGAGAGAGAGCACATTTGTTGCTCACAGCTGCTTTGTGAGAAGTTGTTGCTTTGATTTGTTCAGCCCACATGGATTTTATTAAACCTATCATAGGAATTGTCGTCCGTTCTACGTCACTGTGGCTTTATTCCAACTCTTCGCAGTCACTGTGATAGTCGGGGCTTGATGCTTAGATAATCTGCATAGCACAAATAGTTAATCATTTTTGATAGTTCCCATATTCACATAATCATAGTAAGTTTGATTTTCTTCCTGAAAGTCATTGGGATTATATAGTTTGTGTGTATATATAATTCCCTGTGCCCCACAAATTACCCTGCTGTGATTGAACTTTTAAGGAGTCGAAGCTCGAGTGTCTTTAGGCAGTACCACTCGTATGTATAATATGTCAGTTTGATGAGGGATATGATGTGCTTGGTTACTGAACACTGACTTTTGAAGTTTTGAAAAGTCTCCATGTTGATTTTTTTTTTCTCTCTCTCTCTGAATACATACTTCTGTATGTAGATATGGGTTTGATTTTGTTCTGTTTTCTTTTTGAGATAGAGGTGCAGTGTTGATTTGTGTATGTTAAAATACAGTGGGAGGTTTGGTGAATATGTAAGTGCCACGGGGAGAGTTCCCTCCACACAAGAACAGGGTAAAAGAGGAGTTGTGCTTGGGGATTTAAAAAAACCCAACAGGAAATCTCTCAAGGATGTATTATGTAGCCGCTAATTGAGCAAGTAGATTTTGGTCAGTAACACAAGGTGTCAGGGGAATTCAGAGGTTTTATCGTAAGAAGGTAGCCCCCCTCTTTTATGACTGAATAGCTGATCAGATGTTGATTATCGGGATCCTTTCCTTCCCCCCCTCCTTCCAGTATATACTGTACGCACAATGCGATTACAGTTTAATCTGAATATGGTGCATCCCCAGAGGTTTCTGTTTGGTTTTTCCATGGTAGGCTGCTTAGAATCTGTAAGTTTTTAACTCTGCATTGTGGTTGTTAAAATACTGGAACTTGAGAACCATGCATCAGTGGAAATCCCCCACAAATTACATGATCCATCTTGGTTGAGATTTCCTTCAGATTGGCAACATAACACAGTAACAATGCCTGCAATATACAACTCATGGTACACTATCACCAGCAAGCTTTACAGTTTATCATGTTAGTAGTAATTTTTTGAAGTTTTTTGTATAACTGTTGCCATTACAAATCCTGTCTGACAGCATGTATGATATCAGTCACAGAAAACTGTTGGCCATCTCCCATGCAAAGGATTTCAACTCTGTTTTTTTTGTTTTTGTTTTTGTTTCTCCCTTTAGGACAGGGATTGTAATGGAATCAACTTAATGTAGTTCTTACAAAAAGGAGTGTCCACAATGGATGTACACCATAATCTACCTAAAAAACCTACCTCTTTTAGCTCAGATTTTGCTTTAGCATTAAGCATTTGCCTCTGTTTTTACTTTTATAATATTTGTATTCATGTTGGTATTTATTGCTGTCTAATGAGTCATACTTCAATGATTACCTCAGAGATATCTCACAGATTTGGGAGAGTCCAGCTAATGAAGTCATTCATAGTTTGTTTCTTTTTTGTTTCTTTTTTTTTGTACAGCTTTTTCTTCTCAGACTTAGCAATACTTTTTCTTTTTCTTTTTTTTTTTTAACGCACAAAATACCAGGAGTGTTTTAATCTAGTGCCTGCACTCTGACCATCGGGGCTCTGGCTAGAATGAGGCTGCATTTACTTCAGATCTTTCTCTGCATCTTTTGCTCTGTACTTACAGTATATTCATGTAGTTTTTCAGCAAAAGACGCAGTTAATCTCTCTGCCATATTGCTGATATCAATGGTATCTTTCTAGTCTTTAGAGGGCAAACTGAAGTGGAGAACTTTTTGGTGTGAATGCAGCCATAAAGAAGTAACAACCTCAAAGACTTTGTGGCAGTAGGAGAGGCGAGAGGTGTGTTTGTGCTCCACTTGGTACCGTTAGCATGGTCTATGCTCTGTAGTACGTCATCCTTACTTTGTCCTTCTGATTTGTCTTCTCATTTCCTCCATTACCCTCTTTGTGTCTTCACCTCTCCTTCTGTCGTAAAGTCTGTTCCTGCACCTTCATCATTCCCTACCAGTCTTTGGTCAAACGAGGGGAATTAGGAGGGGTGAAATCCTCAGTATCCATGCAATGCTGCTTTTATCTTGAGCATCACCAAGTTGTGCGTAACCGACACCACATATGCAGGCATCGTCCAAAGTGTCGGCCCCCAGCAGGCGCGACAAGCCTCGTCAGAAGATCGTGTCTTTCGAAATGTACGCAACTTAGTGGTGCTTATTGGGAAAAAAAAATTCCATTGAGACCTTAGTATCATTAACGGAGCAACTACTCACTTTGGTGAATCCAAACCAAGTTTTTTTTTTTTTCTTTTTTTTTTGTATTCATGTCAAACTGCTTCAGGTAAACACTGAATGAAATTAGAGAGTTTTTATTGATCAGTGAATACTGAGGAAGTGTCGCCATGGTCACATCTACCCTGAGCTGTGTGCCATAACGTGACCCTTTTTAATGCAGGGGAGAGTGTTAACAAAGCTGGCTTCAGATGTTCCCCAGCTTAATTAGAATGAGAAGGTTGTCCGAGTGTGAGATTGGCTTCTTGCTCTGTCAGCCACGTGTGTCGATCTTTTGTAAGGATTTGAATTTGGCATTGAATTCTTACCCTGCATTGTGAATCCAAATTATGCCACATTCGATTGAAATGCCTAAACCAACAAAAAGCACTTAATATAATGTTTGTAACACATGTATACTGATCAAGCTACTAGCCATGAACTGCCTTTGTAGGTCAGCACGATATGGCTCCAATTATCAAGAAAATTTAAGTAACCTAAATTCTAATGTAATTGCAATTTATCTTTTGTCTCATTTTTTTTTTTTCAAAGATCTTCTTTTTTCTATTATAAATGGGTGTTTATGTAATGTTATTTTTGTCGGATGTTTTGCAAATCAAAAATAAACAGTTGTACATAGCAGTGGGCTTCTGTGTGATCTGTTTTTATATGTTACAAGTTCATTCTGAATAAACGAAATGAATATCTTTTAAATGCTAGTATTCAGTATTTAAATTAGACAGATTTTCTATCATTTGTAACTTGTGTAAATTTGCAATCTTATTTCTCTATTACTCTTTTGGCCAACTACATTATTAAAAGAAAGAAGATTGTGTGTTTACAAAGAACCCTTCCTACATGTGCCCAGAATGGTAATTCAACAGACTCAAGTGTGCTGTTGACTGAACATTTTGTTGCTTTGAGTCAGGCCATGATGGCACTCCAGAAGCTGCTTCACCTTATCACAGTGAAGTAGTACAAAGGACTACCACTCAAACACATGCTCTTACTATGTTCTCAAAGTAAAATGTTTGCATCCCAAGGATATTTCTCTGCACAATACATAGTTTAAAATGCCACACACACACCCAGAGTAAAATAAGATACAAAACAAAAGGGGGAAAAGAATTAACTTAAAGAAGGTACAGCACATTAAAAGACATCTCTAGTGAACGTTCTTTACCTTGTCAGTGTGCTTGCAGTCACTGACATGGTTATGCTACCCTGATCCTTTCCTGTTCTGAGGGTGGTCTTAAAAACATTGATTCTGACAGCCAAGGTTTCATAAATAAGAAACCTGAGAAACCAAACTGCTCAGCTTGCAGGATGGAGTTTCCATATCAGTGTTCATCTTCAGAATCGGTTTCCAGTTGAGGCATGTGCGGCTTGATTACTCCAATATTATACTTCGCCACTGTGTAGCGCAACGTAGTTTTATAGCATTTGAGCAGAGTCCTAGGTGAGCTGGTGTGTTTGAACTGCAGAGTCGGGAACTTCATAGATTTGCACATTATAGAGGGAGCAATGGATTTAAATCTGAGACGTTTTAAGGCAGGTAAGGATTAATTTTGGGGGGAAAAAAACACTTTTTGACACACCGAAGTGAAGTTTTAGGGGTTTCATCAATGACTTGGATTTTAATAAAAGTGTGAAGTTCATGTACATTGTTCCAAAAATACAATCAATGAATAAATTGTACACAACGGCACATGTAAAACTATATTAATACGTTATTTATTACATGAATCCCCTGTCATGTTTTGATACATATACTAACAATATGTGTCTAACAACATGTCATTATTTCCTGGTTACCTGTGCAGTCATGGAGGGATCAATATGTTAAATATGTACGCTGCTGCTTTATTGACCTCCTGTGTTCATTTTGCATCTTTCAGCAGAAATAGCTCAGTTGGATTTCCTGTTGACACACTGCAGTGCCAGTGAAGTGAGTTACTCAGACGAAAAATATCCTCAGCTTTGTCTTAATCATACTTTAGCCGGTCTGTCTGTCCCTCCTCTTTTTCCTTAAGCTTTTCTGTTTTCATGTTGGGCCTTTTGCATGCTATCATTTTGCCACCAGAGGGCACTGTCTCTCATCACATAAGCCTTGCACACGCTCATTGGCCTATTGACCTCTCTGATTGAACACTGAGGTCAGCCAGACACAGTTAAGATCATCTAGGTCGTACTGGACGACCTCAAAACAGAACTGGTGCCTGTTTAGGGAAACGCGCCAGCGTAGATAAACACACAGGGCAAACATTTATCAAGCTGTATCTGACATATGTACAATATGTCGGAAGAGATGTGAGCTCACCTCAGCTCATATCTCCCTGGCTGGACGCGCGTGGAGCAAGATTGCATGGGTGCCGATGCGCAAGGAGGAACAAATAAAAGGTTATCAGAGAAATCCAGTCATTGCGCGACAGTTAATTGTCAGCTCTGGTACGAAGCAGGGGCACTTCTTTTGCCTGCTGATAAGGTTGCGCTCGTGCGGTCTGCTGAGCCGTTGCATCTGTGCACGAGGTTAGACGAAGGAAAAAGGGGCTCTGGTTGCAGCAACATCCCTTAGGTGAGGGCTCTCTGGCTGCACTGTGTAACAGAGCGACAGCAACGTGTACGTCCTGCTCTTTTTCACATGTATCCAACAAGCAAGTAATTACAGGCAGCAGTTTCATGCATCATTCACAAAGTGAGCCGCTGACAAGTAAAGGACATCCTCGCAGGACATCAAGTTATGAGATGCACGTTAAACTGGATTCATTTTATTCAAAATTCCTGATCAGTCGGCGCTGATTTGCACTTGCTTCGATCCTGGATTGCTGCTGAGGAAATCACTTGACTAATAAATCTGTTTTTTTGTTATTTTTTTAAATTTTTACAATGGTAAACATGTATGAGCGTAATCTAAATGGTTTCACTTGTATTGATAAACCCATGAAGGATTATCGCCCAACACTGCTGGTCCTCCCAGCTCTCCTTGGTTCACTGCTTCTTACTGCTCTCATCAGCACAGTTTCAAGCCACAGCTGTTTTCAACTAAAAAAACATCTTAAAATCCACTTTACAGTACTGATCCCAGCATCGAACAACAGACAGAACCAGTTAGAGACTAGCTGGTGAAGAAACTGCAGCCCTTAGAGGCCAAGGAAGCAGCCAATTTTGCCAAAATAAGAGCGAATATCAAAGAAGATAGAAATACAACAAATAGGTGATAATGTTGCTCTGTGTCTGCAAGATGTGTCAAATATCTGTTGTTTGCTAAACAGTTTCCATAGCAACTTTATGAGGTGATCATATGTCCGTAAAGTTTAAAATTTGTTAGATTTTTTTTTGTCCTAGGTGCAGCGTTTTCATTCTTGTTCACTGAAGAATCTGTGTTGAGGTTTGCAATTACAATACACATGATGCGACAAAGATGTGATGAGTAAGACTACAAAGAAAATGCCAAAATCGACCATAGCTCATTTATAGTACACCTTCTTGGTGTAACTGTGCTATTAGTGACCGAGGTCACACCAGGACAGTTTCCTGGAACGGCACTACGTGACTTCGTTAGGTTTTTGGGTGAGGCAGACACGAGGCCAGATAAAGACGTTCGCGCGCAGATTCACTGCTGAGAAGCGTCAGTGTGGACAAGCACAATAAGGTGGTCCTCAAAGGCATTTATTTCTGTCTGTGGGAGTATTAATACTGACGGGTGGCGCCCTGGTCACAGGCCGATGCTGCAGCTCCAAGCAGCACATGTGCACGCTGATAGTGCGAGTGTTGTATTTTTGTGGCCCAGCTTGGGGCATGACTGTTCAGTTGCCACATAGCCGCCTGCAGGGGGATGTCAGTTGTGACTTTCCAGTAATAACAAGGGCGTGTTGTTTTCTGTGTGCATATCTCGTGTGTGTGTGTGAGAGAGACAGAGAGTTTTATTTCAAACTAAACAGCCAGTCACGATGAGAGGATGAAGCAAAGTAAAAAAACAACAAAAAAACGATGCAGTCGGATCAGTAATGTGAAGCTCATGCTATGCATCGAGTCTGACTGCGTGAGACCCTATGTGGCTACAGAGAGAGGGCTCTTTTTTTGCCTCTTTTCCACAGATACTGTGCCCACTTATCTAGAGTGGATGTTGGATGCCCTTTATGCAAGTCATCCAAATATCATTAGGGCTAAACCCACCATGTGGTTTTGGTTCAGAATGTGAGGAACGCGTGCACGACCGGTGAACGCTCCTCTGAGCTCAGGCCCTCCATGGGGCAAAATAACTTTCTCTGCTCTCACAGGGCTATAGGTGGGGACGCAGAGAAAATGCATACAGCACATCAATAAACCTGTCTTTTGTGGGAGACTCGGAGATGCAGCACCCTCACGGCAGCATGCAAGCATTTAGCGAGTGTGAATAATGGTGCTGTTTGTTATTACAAGCTGGGCGGTCGCAGTTTGCATTGTTGTAAAGAGTGGGACAGAAAAAACACGTTAATTACACTGAGAGAGAAAAAAAGAACAACAACATTGCAATGGGGGATATTTTCTTCTTCTCAACATATTTCTCATTTTTTCATCCTTATTTCCCCCCCTGAGCTATGTTCCAAAGAGGAAAGAAAAACATCTTGGCTTTTTTTCTTTTTGTCATTTTTGTTTTGTTTTCTTCTGCCGTCCTTACTTTCCAAGCAAAATGAAGCGGGAACAGTGAGAACAAGCTGTGTGTGTGTGTGTGTGTGTGTGTGTGTGTGTGTGTGTGTGTGTGTGTGTGTGCGCGAATAAGGAAATGTTCTCCTTGGAAAATAATGGCAGCAAAGTCGCATTAATGGCCAAACATTTCCTCCATGTTTTCCCGTGCCCTATATTTATACACACACACACACACACACACACACACACACACACACAGAGCATACCATTGTGTTTATTCACTTTTTAGCCCCTTCAGTCATGTGGTTTCTATAATGGCCCTGATTTTATTATACAAGGAGTTTGGCTGGGAAGTTGGAAGAAGTGCTGATTCATTTCTAAGGTGTTGTCAATAAACAGAGATAATTGTGGTTTCGAATCATTTAGGTATTTATAGGTTAACAAGTGAAATTTCCCAATGAACCATGTCCACAACAAACATGCACTTTTCACTCTTGTATTGTCAGTTTGTCTTAACTCTACGTTTGCCCTGCGATTATTACTTCCAATCATTCATTTACTTGTCTTCTGTTGCAAATGTGAAACCTAATTTATACAAATTGATTCAATTGAATTTAATTCGATTTAAAGCGACGTATGTTATGTAATATTTATTTTTCTCCTTTTATGCAGACTCCGAGGAGCCCAACAAGTAATAAGAGCATGGATCTAATGACTGTGAGATGCTGCGTTTTTTTTTTTCAGTCAAGAAGTCACATGCAAATTTTCTGGTTAGACTTCAAAGTCGAGTTGTTGCCTTTTTCAGTTCACGTCCTAAAACTGCATAGCTGCATACATATGAAAGGTCACTGGTTTCATTCTCCAGAAGAAGTGAGGAAATTTGATAGAGAAAGTGAAGAAACCTCCACTGGAACACAGTCAGACTGGTTTCAACAACCAAGTTCAGGTCTTTAATGTTGGGCATTGCTATGAGAAAAGAAATGGTGCGCCCACTACAGAGTTTTCCTGGAAAT